TACTGCAGAGATAGTAGGAACTGCAGATGCTGGAAAATCTGAGATAAGCAGGTTTTCTGAAGAAGGGTCTAGGCCCGAAATGTCAGCCTTCCTGCTCCTATGATGCTGCTTGGCCTGCTGTGTTCATCCAGCTCAACGCCTTGTTGTCTCTTAACTTTCTACTGTTCTGAGTAGGGGCTGTTACATAAACCTACTTTAGGTATATCTCACTCATATGCCACATTTACAATTTCTTGATATGATTTACTTAATTTATATCATGTGTACTGAACTACAGTGTAAAGTATTGCCTTACATTCTTTATAGGCAGATCATAGCATACAAGTGCATCAGGGTAACAGAATATGGTGTAAGATACAATGTTACAGGTACTGAGAAGGTACAAAGAGAGAGAGTTCAACATTGAGATTAAAAAGGTCCATTCAACAGTCTGATAGCAGTTTTGTTTTTGCCCTCAAAAATAGAACAAATGCATGCATATCCAAAGTGGTAATTTTCAATTGTCAATATGTTTTGGAACTTCTCAAATATTTCTTCCACAACTTTTTTTTTTTTGTACAGCACTTATCAAATTCAAAGTTAAACACAGATTCATACAATTCATTAAAAAAAACTCACTTTTCAAATCTTTCCATCAAACTAATTTTGAATCTGCGATGCTCCTGGACTCCCCCCACCCCCTTGGTTTCAGTACTGTGTGGCACAAATATAATTGTTTTTAATCATCGTTTAGTCATTCTGTGAATACAATCCAGCTTTCACAGGGGTCTTACTCAATGGGGGACAGGAACTTGTTCAGGTTTGTGAGCCTTTCTATAAGTGTGTTGGAGTGATGTCCATCACCTCTACCCTTGCTATGTCCTGGACATCTGTTCCACCTCATTGCATGGACAATGGAGTCTGTACTCTCAACTGTGTACCTCCAGTTTATTGCCCCTTTTTCTGTGAGAAAGCAGTTGTTATATCATAGATTTCTACTTGATATGTTTTAATTTCAGCTACATCAGGGGAGAAGTCCATTTCATGTCCAATATGTCCAGGTGCAGCATTGGTGCAAACTCATAGTCTTTTCCTTATTTTCAATATTGGAATGTAAAACATTGCATTCCTGCTGTTCATCATTTTGCCTTTGCAGATTTTGTTTCAACTAAGTCCTGGAGCACATTAGTTTTGTTACTCAGCTGTAAAGAATACACATCTACACCATCGGCTGATTCATTCTGGGCAGTTTCTAAGTCATAGCTTCCATCACCTCTTTCAATGGCCTGTTGAGTACACGTTCCTGATTACTGTTACATATTTCTACAATTTGCATGACTTTTACCTGTGATTCTAACTCTTCCATTAAACCATCTATCACATGTGCTCTATATCCTAATGCCATATCAGCGATAAACCAGATATATGTTTGCAAGTTTATCTTTGTTCTGAACAATGTATTTATCCATCTGTGAGCATTACTTTCAGATCATTGCTATATCTTTGCAGAAATCACTACATGATTGTTTCAAGCTTAAGCCTGGAAAAACATAGAGTTTAGAATTTTTTTTTTTCATTATTGATAGATTGAATAATTGTACTAATAGGACAGTTCACTGCATTCTTGAGCTGTTCTCTGAACTTGGACTGAGTCACCCCATAAATAAATGTGTTTGTGCAGCAATTTAAACTTCTAAGCATAAATCCAACTTCAGCAAATATGTATAAAGAATAGTTGTAATCGGTGGGCTCCATTCCTGCAATATTATAATATAGGAATTCCACAACATGTGTCAACCATAGCAGAATGAAACTGCTGGATATGGTGAAGAGTAGAATACTAGACTTCCTACGGCTCTTCATTTCTGGGTCACTGCAAATCTCTTCCTTGTTCTGATCTTTTAATCTCTTCCGGATTTGGCTTGTTACTAAAATATGCCGGACTGTTAGAGCATTGAGTAACAAAATCAAAGCAAAGGGAAGCCACGGTGTTAGAATCATATCAATCCAGTCAAAAACCACCCATTCTGGATCACTATAAAAGCTTGGTTTTACATTACAAAACCATGGTATATTGTTGATTATCTCTTTGGGTTCAAAAGTAAGATAGAAAGGAATGTTTTTTGAACAGAGTAGAATACAGGTTGTTGCGAGAACACCAGTTGCCACTTTCTCAGTGCAAAATTTCCTTCTCAGTTTCTGGCAACAAATTGCAACAAATCGATCAAGGGAGAAAACAACAGTGAACCAAACAGAACAGTCTGTAGAGGCACCACTCAGGACGTCGATTGTACTGCACACAGGGGTGATGTTCAGAAATGAATCTGGGAAATAGTAAAAACTGATCCGCCAGAGTATTACATCAACAATAATGACCAGTAGATCTGCCACTGCCATTGCCATCAGGTAATGAGTGGTGCAAGTAGAAAGTCCACATTTTCCTCTGGAAAGGATCATAATCGCCACTAAATTAACTGTAACAAGACAGACAATGCAGAAGAGTTGGAAGTTACACATAAAGCATGCTTCACATCCTGGTCTAGAAAGTAAGGGCTTTTGTGTGTGTGTTTTTTTTTGGAAAAATCTCAAAAGATTCAGATTCAAAGGGAAAGACATATCTAACAACAACCAATCCTAATGCATGCCTACCTTAGTTATGGACTTTTGGAATTAATGAAGAAGGTGCAGGGAATAGGGAATTATTGATTATTTAAGTATTGGTTATTTAAGTATTTTCCAGAAGAAGATGGTAACAAAGTTAAAGTGCTCTCCAGTTTCAATATTGTTGACTTTACCTACATATCTTGGGAATCTGAAAGCTGAGTCTTGTCTCATGAACTTCAGAGAGCAGGTACATGCATTGGGAGTCTATCTTCTTGCCCAGATAGATCAGGAGTGCATCACACTTGTGCCCAGTCAACTCCATGTTATATGTTCAGATAGTCTCTGTGTTGGCAATTGGAGCAACATTCATCTACCCACATTCCCCACCTCCTGCACCCCCTCAACAAGGATGATAATTGAGCCATTGGTTCACTGGTAGATCAGAGCTGCCTGCACTTGCTCCCACTTGATAGGAATCAGAAAGAAATCCTTTCAGAACCTGAAAAGGCCAAAGCTGTGCGCAACATCAGCAGATCGGCGTCTGAGCTGACTTCTGCATCCTGCTGAAACCTGCTGAACTTGGAGAGTTGGGGATTCTTTTCCTTGGAGCAGAGGACAGTAAGCAGATATTGAAAATAAGTATGTGTATGTAGCAGGCAGAAAGCAAAGAGGCAAAGTGTAACCACTTTTCATTGTTCATTGAAATAATGCAGATTGAAGGGCAGAAGAAATATAAAGATGAATATTTGTACTCACACAGGGAAAATGATGCTGAGCTCACTGCTTCTGAGCGTTCAGGAAGGTTGAATGAATTATGTTGGAAATGTGATTGCAACGTCAAAGAAAGACACATTTCGGATCCTGGTGTCAGGATTGGGGGAAGGAATTGTTCAGGGTGCTCTGTGGAAAGGCAGCAGGGGCTAGATTGTCATCTTCTTTGATGCCAATCTGACACTATAACAGTGAACATGTATAGCAGAAGGATGGTACACCATCATGAAAGGATTATCAAACATGTTTTGGTTTGTTTCAGTTTGATTTCTATGCAATCTGTTGACAATGGAGCAAGTCTTTGGTGCTTCCTGAAGTTGACCGTTATTCAATATGTCCATAGAAGAATTACTCACAGAGGAATAGCTAAGGGGCCTCTTGCTACTTACAATGCATTTTAAAGGAAAAATCATTTGCAAGAATGCTCACGGGAAAGACATTCTGTGTGGAACAGAACAGGACTGGAAATAAAGGAGCAGTGATGAAACGTTGATAGTAGGCTAGGTACATAGGAATAGGATAGGCCATTCAGCCCATCTAGCCTGTTTTGCTATTCAATGAGATTGTTGGGATCTGTGGCCTATCTCCATATACTTGCTGTACCTGAATCCAGATATCATTCTTGTTAACCTACATTGTACTCCCTCCAAGGCCAACGTATCCTTCCTAAAGTGTGGTGCCCAGATCTTCTCACAGTTCTTCAAGTGTGATCTAACCAGGGTTTTGAATAACTGCAGCATAACTTCTGTCACATCATACCCCAGTCCTCTCGATATAAAGGGCAGCATTCCATTAGGTTTATTGATTATCTTCTGCACCCGTTGTGGTATTTTAAAGATCAATGCATGTGAACACTCAAGTCTGGTTGAAAATCCATTGCATTTAATATTATACCATCCAGAAAGTACCCTGATCTATCCTATTTCTGTCCAAAATGGATAGCCTCATACCTGTTTGGATTGAATTCTGTCTACCACAATTTTACCCATTCATGTAGTCTATCAATGTCTTATCATTTCATGTTATAATCTACACTATCTATAATGCAACCTCACTTAATGTCGTTAGCAAATTTGTACGTATGACTTTCTACGCCATTAAAAGATGTATTAATAAACAATGTGAATAACTGAGGCTTTAATACAGATCTTTGTTGGACTACCTACTCATTTTCCCTCCTTTTTGTTGCCTGCCACTCAACTAAGTTCCCCAATTCTGTGGGGTTCTACCTCAGTTAACAATCTGTTTAATGGGTTATTTTCAAATGCTTTCTGGAAGTCCATGTAAGCAGTATGAATAGACAAGCCCCTCTTAAGTACCTCAGTCACTGCTTCCAACAAATTCAGTGAGGACTGTCAGGCATGTTCTACCTGTCATGAATCCATGCTGGATTTCCCTGATTAACCGATTTCTTTTTGTGGTGATCAGTTTCCATATCCTTGATTATAGACTCTAACAAGCCCACCACAACTGATGTTAGGCTGACTGTTCTGTAATTTCCTTGTTTTCCTCTTTCACCCGTTCTAAAAAGCCGAGTAACGTGCAATTTTCCAAACCAGAGGGGCGACTCCTGTAACACGAGATCACTGAAAAAGTAAGCCAGGACACTTACAACGTGCTGCCATACTTCCTTTAACATCCTCGGATGGAAACGTCATTTGTCACTGTTTAATTTGTTATGGACCAGAGCAACACCCTCAAAACATACCAAGGAGATAACCTAGAACCTATTTCTTACCTTATTTAAAGTAAATGTAAAGCACTGCATTCCAGATGTAATTCAATTGGTCAAGCTTCTAGGCTTTAAGCAAAACACACTTTATTCTTGCATTAGAGTTAAAATACAAATTAAAAAAAGAGCAATTGTCATATGTTAACTCTATTAATAACAATTAAGTAATATATGTTTTATATGCTACTCATCAACTTTTCCACCATAGCAGCACCCCATAAACACAACCTTAGAAAAAGCATATTCAGCAAAACATATCTCCCTCACTTGCAATCTTCTCCAGTCCGGGAGAAGGTAAACACTGAAAGTACAAATCTTGCAACAGGGAGGCAACTCGAGGTTTTGCAGCAGCAGAGAGAGAGCTGGAACTTCCTCCAAAATTCCAGCTTCACCAACTGAAAGTAAAAACTAAAACTGTGTCTGTGTGAGCCTGGCTCCACTTACTCATGCTTCTTTTGTCTAATTTAAAAGAAAGCAAATGTATTGACTCTGTTTTGCCTGGAGCAGTCATCTCAACACCAGGTTTACACCCCTCTTCAAGAGAAACAGGACAGAACAAATCCCTCTTAAAGACACATCTCAACACAAATTCCATTAATTTCCTCATTACTGATATATTATGTTAAGTTTATTCAGTCCCTGTTCCCGATTCACTATTAATTTCCTTGGTAATTCCAAGAAGCTATCCTCCTTTTGTCTTATAAATACTGAGTCAAGTAATAATTCAACATGCCTGCCATTTCTCCATAGTCATTGGCAACATCCTCACTTTCAGTCTGTGGTGAACCAATATTGCACCTAACCACCCACTTTCCCAGTATGTAACTATAAAATATTCTCTTGTTGATTTTGGAGATGCTAGTAAGTTTCCTTTCATATTTTCTTTCAGCAATTCTTATAATCTGCTTTGTGACTCTTTGCTGGTTTTTGTATCTTTGCCATTTTGGAAAATCTATGATTTTTTTTTCGGGGGGAAGGCATTTTTGTAAGCATTTTTCTTTAGCTTTTATGCTGTTCCTTATCTCTTTAGTCCACCTTGCTTTTTTTTTAAAGTAAACCTTCTCCCTGGTGGGGCATAAATTAGTTTTATATTGTCTTAAATGCTACTTTTAAAATCTCCCAACGTTCTTCAGTTATTTTATCCATTACCATATTTTCCCAGTTTACTGTGGACAGTCTTTGTTTCATCTCATTGACGACGACTTTACCTAATTCTAATACTTTTGTAGCTGATTTTTGGTTTTCACTTTCAAACCCTCGCTGAACTTAATTGTATTATGATCACTATTTGAAAAATGTTCATGGACAATTAGGCACTTAAATCAGTTTCATTACTCATTCCTAAACCCAGTTTTGCTTGTATCCTTGTAGAATCCAGGACATATCTTTGTAGGAAACTATCCTGGACACACTCTAGAAATTCACTATATTTGTGCTTTTCTGTCCCTCCTAATTGATGTTAGAATTAAAATACTACACTAGCTTTGCAACATACTTATCTAATTTCTGCATTTGTACAATTTAGCACTTAGAACTGCTACCAGATGATCTCTACACAACACCTGTTACAGTTTTAGATTGTTTACTGTTCCTCCATTGCACACATACAGTCCCCGTCGAATGCTACAGTCATGTCTTAGGAATGGCTACAATATCTTAACTTTCAATTTGAATGTGTGCTTTTCCAGTCTGCCCAATACACCTTGGCTGACCTCTAATTGAATTCAATGTACAAGGCTTTGCCCTATTACCTTTTCTAACTTCGATTAGCGGAATCTGTCACTCCTGTTTTTAGGCTTTGAAATTGATGCAGCAGCTTTGCCTGCCATTATTAGATCAGATTTATAAACTTCCACAAAGTGCATAGGAGAGCGCTCGCCGGGATTTACAGAATGGAGCGAGTTGATGGCACTTACCAGGAACACCAACAACAGCGAGGATAACGTAATATATTTTCACGGTGATATGAAGAGTTTCAAACGTTTCCATGTGAGCTAACTAGTTGCAGCTGGCAATCTCTCAATTCAATTGCACAAGGATAGATCTCCCTGTGCTCTCCACTTTATGTCGTGCGGATTTTCCACAGGGGCCTTGATATTGTATAACCAGGTTTGCATTATTGAAGTGAGGTCAGAAGAAGATTGCAACAACGCAGTCAAGCCCCTGGAGAGAAGAGACAAAGCCTTCTGCAGTCTCCAGATCAGCAACGAAAAGAGAACACGTTGCCAGTGCCATTTTAATTGAAATTTTCGGGCACACCTCGAGGACAGGAGATGCTTGAACCCAAGCCCTCAGAGGCACCAACACTGCTGTGTCTCCACTAGAGCACACTAACTGTGGAGAGAAACGAAGTAGACTCTGGTAAAAGGCTGCCGAATGGAACACGAACAGTGCCTGCCTCATTAATCGTATTTCGGCATAAATGGAGATAAATTCATTTTTTTTTACTTAAACTTTTGCTGTGTTGGGATAGTCCTGTGAAATGCCGCTGCTGTGCAGGTGAAACAACAAATGCAAATTGGATTTACTATTACAATAATGGTTCTGCTGGTCCCTCAAAGCTCTTGACACTGCTCCTGCGATTGTCTTCACTATTCAATCCCCCTGCGCAAGTTTAAAAAGTACGCCATCTGGTGGCTATTTTCATGCGCTCTGGTCCGTGGTGGTGCCACGCATTATTTCCATTTCTCCCAGGGAGTCGAAAACCTATAAGAAGTTACTCCAGTGCCTCAAACTAACACTGGCCTTGAAACCACTAGCTCAATTCAAACAACTAAATTTATCGTCTGTCAGGGAAAGCAGATACTGCAGACTATAGG